AAAAAAGACATTTTACCCTGATTTTCCTGACTAGAAAAAAGTTCCCTGACTTTTCCATGATTTCCAGTTAGCTGGCCACCCTGGTATAATATTATTATAATAGCATGCAAGTGTATATTAGTATGCACCTTTTGATTCTTAATTGCCCTCTGCAATATGCCTGAGGCTTGTAACATATTTGCAAAGGTTGCAAGGTAAACAGCTTACAAGTTTGCTGTATGAATCATTAGTTAGGCAATGTGATTGTAACACAACCTAAAGGTTCCTTAGGCAACATATAGCAAATCTTTATATTTACTTTTAATAATTTTGTTCTTGCGTGTATATATATATATATATATATATATATATATATATATATATATATATATATATATATATATATATATATATATATATATATATATATATATATATATATATATATATATATATATATATATATATATATATATATATATATATATATATATATATATATATATATATAAATTAACTTAACGCTTAACTGTCGAAAAATACTTTCAAGACATTTTTGTAAATGCCATTAGACATTTTCACAACACTAGAACATTTGTATAAGATATTGCAATTACAAAAGAATATGTTAAAGTAAAAAAATATAAATAAAATAATAGTTAGTTCTATCATCTTGAACAAAATAATCATTGAATAACTTGTATAAGCATTGAATAACAAAATAAACATTGAATAAAAAGGTATTATGTGGTAGGGAAAAGTAAAAAAGTATGTACACTTAGAAAAAAAATTGTTCACCTTTCATTTTGGTCTTTTATGTTGCTTATTTGTTTTCACAAGAGATATTTTAAATATTTATTAATTATACAACTAATATTTATCAGTATAAAACTGATAGATGTTAGCTGAATCATTATTATTTTAGTTTAGAGTTAATAGTTGTAAAAAACTTGAAAGAAACCATGTCTGTTTTCATTTATACCATATTTACATATAAACAATCAACATGTATGTGATGCTGTTATTTAGTCTAAAACACTAAATACTTTAATGTAAAACTGCAAATAACTAGTTATCCCCAAATATCCAGTGTTTTTTAAAGTTAGAGATGGCTTTTTCAAACCTTCACAAAGTGTAATTAAAGTTAGCAAAGCAACAGAACAAAACATTGTTATTAAGTGATATCAATTTTAATAAAGTATTGCATAGTTGATGATATTTCAGTTGTGGAACAATATAAACATGCCCTCAGAGTTTCAAAAATTAGAAAACCATTTACAAAAATGTTTGATACAGTGTTTTTATCATGTTTTATACTTGTAAAGTTACTTTCCAGCTACTATTGCTAAGTAAGGTCGCATCAAGTTGTTAAAATAAACACCCAAAAGTAACTAGATCAAATATCAATTTGTCTTTTAGAAAAGTTTTATTTAGAATATCATGAATTCAATAAATTTAACAAGTTCATAGAAAGCAATACAAATTTTATTATTTCTTTATAGCGATATTTCTCTTCGTCGTTAATGTTCTGCGTGTTTTTGATTCCCTTTTATAATTTTTACACCTTCAAACATTTTAAATATAATAATATCATTGAAATATGTGACTTGGTCGAGTAGATATAAACGAAGTAAAAAGGTACATCTTCAAGCGCAATCACTGTATTTTCGGTATTCTGGGGCTTTCCAATATGGCGGCCGTACAAAATATTGGCTTCACTTTTGATATTAGAGATGCGCTATCCAGTTATTATAGAGATCAGTGATAATAACTTTCCACATTTAAACGACCGTGAACGTTTGTTGCTCTTTTTTGAATGCGCTCAAGAGTTCTTATATATTTTTTTTTAAATGGGGTGACCAAGCTTGTGTAGCAAACTCAATGTGTGAACGATAGTTGTATAAAGAGACTTCAAGAGAGATAACCCTCTACTTTTAAATGTCTTTTTAGGGTACCAAGTACTTGATTTGCTTAGGCAACAGCTGCTTCGACTTTTTTTGTTTATGGTCATCGGAAAACTCCAAGATCTCTCTCTAAGGAGGTTAATTCAATTTCTTGTTGTTGTTCGTGATCAGTGTATCCTGGTATAAAATATTTTGCGTTAGTCTTCGTTTTACTACGGTAAGCTCTCTTGTCAAACCCACTGATCTCTATAATAACTGGATAACGCATCTCCTAATAAAATTTCGAAATTTTTGAAGCCAAAAGACGCCGTATTGGAAAGCCCCAGAATTTATAAATCCGTAGTTGCGTTAAACTTATATGCGCTTAAAAGACAAATTTCGCTTGATAAATAAAAAATGCAAAAATCTTATAAATTCATTGATTATTAATAACCGAGTAAATCTGATGTTATATGTTCAGATTATTCCATGGAGAGTGACATAAATATATATATATATATATATATATATATATATATATATATATATATATATATATATATATATATATATATATATATATATATATATATATATATATATATATATATATATATATATATATATATATATATATATATATATATATATATATATATATATATATATAGAGTTAAATTCCCTGACTTTTTATATTTTTCCCTGACTCAGTTATATTTTGAAGTGTGAATTTTTAAGTTTTGTTGTTTGGGAGTAAGTAAAAAAAAACCTTTAAAAAAAATTAAATTTTCAAAAAAGACATTTTTCCCTGACTAGAAAAAAATTCCCTGACTTTTCCATGATTTCCAATTATGTAAAACTGCAAATAACTAGTTATCACCAAATATCTAGTGTTTTTTAAAGTTAGAGATGGCTCAAACCTTCACAAAGTGTAATTAAAGTTAGCAAAGCAACAGAGCAAAACATTGTTATTAAGTGATATCAATTTTAATAAAGTATTGCATAGTTGATGATATTTCAGTTGTGGAACAATATAAACATGCCCTCAGAGTTTCAAAAATTAGAAAACCATTTACAAAAATGTATGATACAATGTTTTTATCATGTTTTATTCTTGTAAAGTTACTTTAAAGGTACTATTGCTAAGTAAGGTCGCATCAAGTTGTTATAATAAACACCCAAAAGTAACCAGATCAAATATCAATTTGTCTTTCAGAAAAGTTTTATTTAGAATATCATGAATTCAATAAATTTAACAAGTTCATAGAAACCAATACAAATTTTATTATTTCTTTATAGCGATATTTCTCTTCGTCGTTATTGTTTTGCGTGTTTTTGATTCCCTTTTATAATTTTTACACCTTCAAACATTTTAAATATAATAATATCATTGAAATATGTGACTTGGTCGAGTAGATATAAACGAAGTAAAAAGGTACATCTTCAAGCGCTATCACTGTATTTTCGGTATTCTGGGGCTTTCCAATATGGCGGCCGTACAAAATATTGGCTTCACTTTTGATAATAGAGATGCGCTATCCAGTGATTATAGAGATCAGTGGTCCTTTGCGTCCGCGAGTTTGAATTTCTAGAAAATAGGCGAAATGGGGTATATAGGGATTTGCGCAGCGGTGTGCACATACACCGACTGATTTTTAGAGAGAACATGCAGCGGAGTGTGGAAACAACGACTGAGGGTTTGGAGTAGGCAGGTTCTCTATTAAATAAAAAAGTCGTTTTTTTACATTTTCGGACCTTGAGGACAGCGTCGGAATAACGGTTTGACAAGAGCTTCGACCATATAAACTGATAGACCCGCCGTAAGTTATATATTTTGAAGCCAACATCTTTTAGCGCGTGACGTCACGTTTGGGCAAAACAAAACGCGATTCAAGCGAAATAAAGCTTTAAGAATAGAAAACTGTTTATTAAATGTAAAATTTTGTAGAAAAAACCATATTACTATTATTATTATTTTTTTAAATACGATTAAATTTATCATTTCTATCAATTATTATTTTTAGATTTCTTAGATAAGAAAACGTAACAGTTAATACAATTTTATGTATTTTATTATCCATTACTTAATATACAAAACAACTTTTTATTGATTCGAAAATTAAATTTGCTTTGTTAATACACTTTGTATACGTTTATTATGTAGTAAATTGTTGATCAAGTCAGTTTTGTGGTGCAATCTTATCTTTAAATACTAAGCAATATTAGTTTTATAATTTCTTCACCACTTTCATAAATAAATTACAGACAACGCTTAACAATATTAGATTTTTCACAACCATCTAAACTATTAATTAAAAATTATACATCAGGAAGTTTCCAACGTCCATTTACACAGTTTACCATAAAAACTAAAGTTTCTTTTGTTTTAGGTTAACTATTATTATTGATATCAGCACAAAAATCAATATAACTAGAAAATTTATGGCCTGTTTATTCAATTTTTTTCTCAAATGGTCATTTCATCTTACATAAATGAACATACAATATGTTGACCAATTTTCTGAGCCTCTTTTATTTTGCTATGAAGAGTAACTAAAGCTTCTTTACAAAATCCAGGGAAACAGTCAACACTTTTATGCCATTTTGTATAATTCCAGGATGAAGAAGTGCATTACTAAATGTTTTCCTAACATAACTATATGCTTTAGCAGAATAAAAATTTAATGTTAAATCAAGGTTGTTAACAAGGCCAAAATTAGCAAGGACATGGCCAAAGCCACATGTTACAAGGCTAAAGCCAAGACCAATGCCAAAAGTTACAAGGTCAAAGCCTGGAATTTTAAAGTCAAGGCCAAGAATAAAAATATTTTCAAGCCCAAAGACTTGAATTTTTGTCTAACGTTAAGGTCAATTATTAACAAAACTGTAGGTAACAATTCCTGTTACAATAAACCACATGTTGTAAAAATAAACCAGGGTTATGCCCAAAATTCTATGAAGTCAATAAAAAACATACTTGTGGATATGTATGAAGCCGAAAACAAAAATACATAAAAATAAAGAATGAAATCTTTTAATTCTTCAATTTTATGTACTTTTATTGAAGACCAAGGCCAAGACCAAGACCAACAGTTTTAAGACCAAGGCCTTAAGTCAAGGTCAAAGCCTAGGACTAACAACTTTGTGTTGTAGCAAAGCTTCATAATTCTGGTGGGTAGCGCTTTTTAACTTTTCTTGTAAAATCCGACAATATAACTGTTTTGTAGACTCAGACATAGCTCCCTAAAATTAAATAGATTAAATAAATACATTTTTAGTTACAACATCATATTTATACTTGAAAACCCAATCAAGTAAATTAGGGCATCGTTGATTGGGGTATCAAGAAATAGATGAAAATATCACAATAGCATTACAATTATAACAACAATTATTACTGTTACGACAAACACAATAATTAACTTATTGCTATTCTTACCGTAATTGTGATGAATTAAAATTTTCCTTAACTGTTATCTGATGATTAATGTAATAAGTTTTTAATCATAAAAACTTATTAATTTAAAACCATATTTTAACAGTAGGTTGACTAAAACAAAATATTTCTAAAGGTATAACTTAATAAGAAATAAGAAACAAATATTTAAAATAATGAAATAGACAAATAAAATAAAATATGTTCAACAACTACTCTTAATAAAAATATATATTATACCATTAGTGTAATTGATACTTCTTCGGAAATCATAGTATGATTCATAATTTTGATTCATCATATGATTTATACTTTTTGATTTAAAATGATGAAGGTATGAATGTAAGTCTTTAATCCTTTTTGTTAAACAACAGTTGGATTGCTGAAGCATTTTAATTGTATTTAAATATATTGTTTACCATTGGTGTTAGGATTGATTTGACACTTTTCAACAATGTTTTTAAAACCATAAAGATATTATTGTCAAAAAAAGTAAACTCAAACATTTACATCAATATATGATATTGTAAAAGTAATTGTAAAGTATGTCATTGTAATGTATTTAAATTAGATTTACTGTATTAAATTACTGGTGATATTATTGTTAACATAAATGATATAGTTATCAACATTGTTCCTAAAAAAAAAAAAAAAAAAAAAAATATATATATATATATATATATATATATATATTTACGAACAATAATGTTGATAATCATACCATTAATGTTAACATTAGATTTACTTGTATAACATTAATGTTATACAGTAAGTTTAATGCGTATATATATATATATATATATATATATATATATATATATATATATATATATATATATATATATATATATATATATATATATATATATATATATATATATATATATATATATATATATAGGCACACAATATATATGTTACAAAAACTAAACTTAAAAGTTTTAAATCAATATATGTCATTGCAAAAAGATTAGTTACATTAGACTTACTGTATTTGAATCATTGGTGGTAATATTTGAAATAATTCTTTGGCTATATTTTTTGGTAATTTTCTAGAATAAATACTTTTTCATAAAAGTGTTGGGAAATTAAATATAGAAGAAATTGCATTTTTTTTTTAGTTTCTTTTGTGAACTCGAAAGACTTCCTTTATACCAGTGAAATATTTACCACAACGTTTAGACAGTTTACTAGGAGTAAAACCATCACTCCACATAACTTGTATCCATTTTCTCCTCAATTCTATATCTTTCAGAAAACTACCAACAAAAATAAGCATATTAAAATAATATGCTATTTATATTTGAAATATAATGTAGGATCTTAGCAAATAATGATTTGTAGCTACTTACACATGAAAGGAAACCCTTTTAATATATCTTTGAGTGCAATTATATGCAAAACAAGATAACATCATGATCTTTATATATCTATATTCTATTTGAAAATCAAAATTTAAACAAAATAATATACATAACAAATAATAAAACTTTAAAAATGTTAAATACATTCACCCTAAACCGATATTATAAATTGTTTAATGCCCAAACGTGACGTCACGCGCTAAAAGATGTTGGCTTCAAAGTTGTGTGAATATTTACTCGCGGTAAGGCGTGTCTAACAGTTTATATGGTCGAAGGACAAGAGTGCCTAACTTTTACCACAGTTAAATTGCCTGACTTTGTATTTTTTTAAATTTAATTTTAAATTTAATTTATATAACAAACTAATTCCGAATTATACCTCAATTTCTCTTGCTGACTTCTTTAAAGTCAAAACTAAAAAATCATGTTCTCAATACAGATAACTACTTAGAAATGTTTTAGTTCCAATGATAAACTAATATTTACGCTCACATTCAAATAATCAGCAATCAATTAAAAATGAAAATGAATTTTTGTTTTAACTAAAAAATAAAGATAATATTATTATTATAAACCACAACACTAACACCATACATAGTATAATAAAAAGAAAAGAAAAGTCTACCTCAATGACATTTGAAACATTTGTTTTATGAGAATCATAATGTTTATATGTGTATTTTACGCAACACCCAAGGTTCTCGATGATAAGACTAAACTCAGTCTTCTACGAGTTTCCTACAACAGTCAAAACCCTTATCAAGTCATAGCATATTTAATTATCCTATGTTTATCTTAACGGTATTTTGTAAAATATTAATTTTTTTGTATTGGAAGTTTATTTTGTTTATGTTATCGCAGTGTAAAAAAATTTTGTAATTAATATGTAGTTGTAAAAATTTAATGAAAAAAAAAAAAAATAAAAAATAATTTTAGATGCCATTTTTTGCACCATAAAACAGGTTGAGAATTAAGGAAAAGTCAGGGAAATCCATCTTTAAATATTGGGAGACACCCTGTATTATATTTAATTTATTTGCTTAAGGAAAACAACATCTTACATACCCTGGAACACTGGGAGAGAATAGAAATAGTTGTTAGTTATTAAATATTATATTTATTTAAAGACTACAGGACAAAACCCACATTAGTTCATGTTTTTAATTTTAATAAAAATAGCATTTTGTGATAGATGAGTTTAGCTTTATATATGTTATATATTACTGTTAGTTGATTTCTGTACATAATCATATTCAAACATCTCAGTTATTCATTATACTTAATCTTTAGGGGTATTTGTTATATTGTTGTTATAGTGTTGTGTTACGTCTTGAGTAATAACTTCTTTTGTTTATTTTTTTTAAATTAACTTTAAAATTGATAACAATTAATTAAAAATAATAATAAGTTTTCTTCTTTAAACTATAGATTCAGGAGGGTGTTGATATATGCATCATTGTTGGTAACGAATTGTCATAAAACAATATTAATTTGGCACAAAATCTCTTGGTACAGAATGTATAAAGTTTTACTAAGTCGATCCAAATATATAAAAACAGAAAAAGTTACCCTAAACAATTTTATGTAGACACAACGCAATTGTAAAACGCTTTAGTAAACAAGCTGTTGACACAGCTGTAAACGATATCAGTGAGATAGAACTTGATTTAAAACAGAAATATTTGAACAGTAAATACAACAGTTTTATATTGCCTTGTTTTATCATATTTTAAAAAGTTGACTTTTGTTATTTGTGTTTTGATTCGTAAGCACCTAAAAAAAGTTTAGTTAAAAGTTTTTATGAGTATTATTATAGTTCGTCGGTAATACTTTCCCTTTTTAAGGTTTTAAAATACAATTTTTTCATTTAAAGTGTCTACGCAGTATGGAATAGTCTATGGAATAACCCTAACCCTAACCCTGACCCTGACGATTAGTCTTGCATAAGTGACTTGTTGTATTATATATTATAAATATTATTTATACTATTAACATGAGCACTGTTGTATTATTAATTATGAATTTATTTCAAGAAAAAATTAATTAAAGTACTTAATTGTTTTATTTATTAGCATTCTCTACGCGAAAATATGCTTGGAATTTAGGAGGATCGGAATAAATACAAAATAATCTTATATAATCTTACAAATCCTACTACAAATTTATACGAAATCTTACTAAGAAATTAAGATAAATCTTACCAATCTTATTAAGATCTTACATTTCTTACAAGTCTTATTAGTTAATCGCACAAAAACTTTCAAATCTTAATAAGATCTTACTAGTTTTCTTGCACGTTTTGCAAGTCTTACTAATCTTACTAAGAATCTTACTAGGAAATCTTATTTAGATTTGACAGATTCGTCGCTCTGGGTAGGACTGTATTATCGATATCTTTTTGTAGTAGATTAGCATCTTCTGGCGTTTTAATAACTCCGATTATCTTACTATCGTTAGCGTAGAGTTTTATAGAATGGTGTATATTTTTAGGCAAATCATTGACATAGAGAACAAATAAAAGAGGGTCTAGTAAAGAACCTTGAGGTACACCGTTAGCAACGTTTTTCCATTCAGATATAGAATCACCCAATACTAATCTTTGTTTTCTGTTACTGAGCCACGCTTTGATCCATGCAATCAATTGACTTTGTATGCCATAAGTTCTTATTTTATGAATGAGTCGGCGATGGGGCTTTTTATCAAACGCTTTCTCCAAGTCAGTGTACACTATGTCAACTCGATAATTGTTTTATATGAATTGTAACAATATCCAAAGTTTTAAATAAATTGGTAACATCCTTTTTTTAAAATGAAACCGTATTAAGATATCGAGATAATATTGTTTTCCCTACAGTATTTCATAATTGATTCACGTATAAGATTTTCTATAATTTTACTTACAATAGATGTTAACAAAACTCCTCTGTAATTTTGAAGCTTTTAATTTACTGCCTTTTTTAAAAATTGCAAAAATATTTGCCATTCTCATCAGGAATTTCACCGCTTTAAAGTGAAAGACAATAGATAATGGAATCGCAAAACTTTTTGCACATTATTTGAGAACTTTAGAATAAATGTTGTCGTATCCCATTGATTTTGTTGTAATTAGTTTCTTAAATTAAATTCTTTATTGAACAATTTCTTTAATTATTACTAGCTCCGTTGCTGTGTTGTAGAATGTTGACTCGATGGCTCTTCTTCAAATACCGAGTAAAAATAATCGTTTAATATATTGCATATCTTGTTATTATCAACAGTAGTTGTATTATTTTTGTCTTTTAGAGCACAAATTAATTGACGATCTGTGTGTTTGTTTTAATAGTAATCTAGAATATTATTTAAAAGTATGCGAAAAAAATAGTTGCAAATAAAAAGACTTTTTCTATTATCGGTTTCATAAACGTTATCAACATGCTTCATATTTCAATTTTGCTATTGTTAAAACGAGTAGTATCCAATCACAACTAACCAAATGCTAAATATTAAAATAAAGTAATCCTAAATATTTTTTAAAAGTTTTTTTAACTGTATCAAATGTCCACTCTATTTTTATTGATTAAAAACGTTATGAAGGATTTATACTTTTTTTATGTTTTTCAAAATTTACCTTTAAAGGCTGGATTTTGTAAACAAAAAATAATGGTGATGTAAAAATAAAAAAAAAGTAATTTGAAATGTATTTGAGATTTTTATATATATATAAAACAGGTTATAAAATACTCTTTATGAAGATAGTTTAAAACTAGTTATAAACAATTTGAGCAATGATAATATTCATTTTGTTTTAAGCCAATGTCGCAATCCGAATGAAACCATTTTCTGCATTGCACTCAAAAAAAATGTTTGGAGTCACTGCTTTTTTCGGAACAATTTAATAAGGTGATTTTTATTAGAATACTATTATATTAAATGTAAAAGTTTTGAATAGTAACAAATTGGTTTATATGTAGATTTTGTAATTAGGGGCCATCCATATAGGACGTCACCATTTTTTAGCCAATTTTTGCCCCCTTCCCCTTCTTTGTCACCGGTTGTCCTTTTTCCCTATACCTCCTTGAAAAGGACGTCATAAAATCCTGACCCCTCCCCCCTATTTTAAACCCCCAATTAAAATTATTTCATCTCGCAATGATGTTTGAATCTGCTGCTACACCTTTGAAAAATAAAATTAAAAATATTCTCATAGATTATCTTCTTAAAAACACATATTTGCATGTTAATTAAACTAAAATAAAAAATCAATAAAGTGACGTCCTTTTCTGACAACCTCCCCCTTCCCCTTGTCCTTATTCGTAATTTTTATCTTGACCCCTCCCCCCCCCACTATTTGGATGACGTCCTTTATGGATGGCCTCTTACTCATACTAAGTTTCACTTTAGATTAAATAAGTTAATATTTAGATTTAATAAATTTTAGTAAAGAGTAGTTGAAACCTTATGACTAACATGTTTCAAACAGTGATAATACTTCATGAGTATGAAGTATTACAAATTTGTGAAAGTTTTTGCATTAATGTTTTATTTCCAGACTAATATATTAATTTGCTTTTTAGAGGAAGTAAGATACATCCTGATTAAGAACAACGCTTCATTAAACGATGAAGATGCATAAATATGACAAACGTCCTGCGATGCAGAAACACCCTAGTTATAACTAATAACAGTAAATCAACTGTATAATTGGCGAACCGTATATCGACATAATTCGAAAGTTGGTTAAATATTTGCTGTTAACTATTTTTTATATATATTATCTAATAATTATTTAAATTGTATAAAAAATAGTTAAGATAATAATTGAAAAACAAATAAGTATTTCGTCGTTTTATTATGTGTTTTTCATTTATTTCATTCATCATCATTCACATTCATCAATTATTTCCTATTCTATATATACAATCGCATTATAGTCGCTTCCGTAATCTCATTTATTGATCGAAATTAAAGAGGGCTAATATCCTTTTACTGATATCGACTCGATATCATTTTACTGATATCAGCCTAACGTTGTTTTACTGATATCGGCCCAACGACATTGGGCCTACATTATTCTGATAAGCAAAAACTATCATCAGCCGCTGTAAAAGCCTACGTCGTGCCGACGTCGAACAATCGTGTTCATGTTATCTGGACAATAAAGAGTAGATGACTCATAGAGTACATAAATATAGGAAGATCTAGATTATTGAGTTTTATTTGAATTAAAGTTCACTAGCCAAGAGCCCCTTGATGTTGCAGAATTAATATCATTTTCAAGCTTAAATGTCCCCTCCAAGCAATCAGAGAGAATTGGCTTATTATCAAAACAAAAATAAATGGTATATATAAGTATATATATTTATATATACTATTTATTCTTATATATATTATCTTATATAAAACATAAATATATATATATATATATATATATATATATATATATATATATATATGTGTGTGTGTGTGTGTGTGTGTGTGTGTGTGTGTGTGTGTGTGTGTGTGTGTGTGTGTGTGTGTGTGTGTGTGTGTGTGTGTGTGTGTATTCATAGTCTTAAAAGAAAATATTCAAGGATTTTTTGTTAAATAATGATAAGCATCATGGTATTGACGTGATGGCCATTTAATTGGATTATCTTTCCACGTGTTTGCAAAGAACTTGAATGGAAATTAGTTGATTTCAAGGGTTGCAAGTTTGTTTATACACTGTTCTGCGGCGTATAAACAATTTTTACGAATAATATTCCTCACTGTAATGCTGAGCTAAAAAGGTTGTAAAAAAAAAATTAATAAAAAAAAGAAACAAAACAAAAAGAAACCTGAACAGTTGCTGAAAACCTCACAAAAAGCAACAAAAATTTACAATCCTAAACATAATGAATAAAAAATGAGTTATTTATTTATCAAATCATACTATTTTAATTTTTCTTGTTTGAAAAAAAGTACTTTTTACTTAACTTTGCATAATCAAAATAAATAATCGACAAAATAAAAAAGATTAACATTTTTTTCTTGCATTCTTAAGTTAAATATAAAAAATATAAAGCAGCGCATTAAGTTTAATGAAAAGTGTGTGTGTGACTTTATAAACAAAAAAAAAAAAAAGGGGGATAAACAGATTCTTTCTGTTGACCAGCTTCGCATCCCTTCTTCATCTATTAGACTGGTACAGAAGTATTAATAATATATTGTTTCCAGTTTAAGATGTTGAATACTAAATCTTCTTGACTCAAAGCATGGATTTTGCTTGTGTCTCTGTTATAATGATTAGGTAACTCATTCTTTTATCTCCAAATGAGGGTACAGCTCTAAGCTCAGTTTTAAGGTTTTGAGGCAGGCTGATAGTCAGATTTTCCGAACTCTGTGATGGCTCTCAGAGAGGCTAATATCATTCACAGCTGTAAAGTATCGGAGTACTAACAGTGCAATGTTGCGCATAAATCCCTGTTCATAATTTTGGTGTGCATTGTCGAGGCCATATTATAAAGAAATATTATATTAGAGTCCTTTGTTACGGCTTAGGATTTACTAATTACTGAGATCTAATTATGTACTGAGTACTAAATGTGCTTCGAATTATGTTCTTTAACCAATTTAAAAAATAACTAAAATACTAAATGCTATAAAACACAAAACTATAAAACACAAAAAACCGCCAAGTTGTCTAAATCTATAACTAATATTTGTGGTCTTCAAAGTAACTTTTCTTCTTATGAGTCTATTCTCTTGCAAAATTCACCAAATCAATTCGATTTGTCACAGCAGCGGAGTATTTGTTGGTGCCCACCAATAACATAAGTTTTTTTCAAATTTGACTAAACTTGATTAAACCTCTTAAACAAAAATAGACAGAAAGAGATACAGCTTATTCCACTGTCAATTCAACTTTAACTACTTGAAGCATTTTGTTTACTTTGTTGAACCTTTCCATATTTGTGCATCAGATTAAATTGGCCGTCCCCAGCTGATATATATTCTGTTTAAAGTTTAAAAGTGTAAAACTGAAGTTGTAAAAAAAAAAAATTGATTCCTTTCCGACTGGTCTCTCCAAATGTCTTGGCCCCGCAGCGGCTGCCTAAGCTGGACATGTGTAAAGACGGGTCTGTCTTCAATGGACAGCACTCTTCTTCATTTCCTGTAGCTTTATGAGTTTCTCAAGGTTCTATCCTTGGTTTTACACTTTTTTAATTTACATTAACAGTTTCCCAGAAATTCTCACATTTAATGTGGCTTTGTTCGTTAATGAAACTACTATTTATTCTTATCTTTATAAAAAGCCAACACTCTCTGATTGCTTAGAGGAGCCATTTGAGCTTGAAAAAGATCTTACTTCTGCTTCAACATGGGTCTCTCAGTGGCTGGTAAGCTTTAATTCAAATAAAATTCAACTTTTTTTGATTAAGCATTGTCGCAACAATCTAGATCTTCCTACTCCAGATTCTATTCCTTATCTCTATAAATTTCAAACTCGTCTTTGTATGAAATAATGTCATATCTGTAGGGGATCTTTAAATGATGTTCGTTCCTTTTTAGGCAAGATGCAAAAAATATAAAATACAAAATATAAAACTAGATAAAATAAATACAAAATATAAAATACAAAATGCATTGTAAACAGAGTTGGACCTGGACTTGCAATCATCCATCAACCATTGTTACATCATCGTAATATTGTATCTTTTTCTCTTTTTTACAAATGCAATATTAGGTGCTGCTAAGAAGATGGCGTCTATTCCTTTCCTTCTCAAATTACTCATTATTCAATTAAATCTCATCCTTTTACTTTGACTTTTCCTTAGTGCTCCAAAAAAAATTTTTTTATCTTTGAACATCGGTACTTTTGAGTTTGCTCCCTTTATCTTTTTTTTCTTATTTATATAATTTGCAATCTTTTAAGTCGCTTGTTATTCGTTATCTTGTTTTATAAACTTCATCTTTTCTCTTCTAGTAATTTCCAACTCTAATAGTGGTTACTTGCAGCCTTGTTTGAAATGGAAATAATTTAAAAGAAAAAAAAAATTTTTAGTATCAAATTTTTATATTATATACAACATCTAAAAGTTTCATTCGTTTTAATAAGAATAAATATGTTGATAAGAATGAAGCATTTTAGGGCTGAAAACATATTAACATATTAACAAGAAAAAGTTCCTTAATTTTGTATGATACAGCAAAATAGATGAAAATGATCTATTTATTCAATTATTTATCACACGAAACGTGATTAATCATCTTTTTAACGTTAGGGTTGTGTTAGCACCCGCAAAGCATTAAATTAAAATTGTTTTACTTTTTTCCAACCAATATACAAAATGTAATTTATTTTCATCTTCTAATCAGTTAATAAATTATATGATTAATAAATTTAAGAAAATGTGAAGAAATGTGAATTATAATAATGACTATTGTCGTTTAAGTTTCATTAAAGGCAAAAACCTTCTGGTTTTTCTTATAACTTCAATCAGAAGTGAGTAGATGAGCTTTCCAGTATGAAAACGCGCAAAAAATTAAAATGCAGCAAACAAAAAATGGTTCACTGCTTACCTTAAAAGATACAAAAAACTGTCAATAAGAAAACCTGAAACAAAAAATTTTTAGCACATCTTTCTTAATCAATTTAAAAAACTTTGAAACGTTTTATAATAATTTCGAGACTGGTGAAGTCTCGAAAATTATTATAAACATTTCCCAGGTCCCAGCAAACAATTGACTCAATATTTCTTAAGTCCCAGCTTTAAACAATTGACTGAATTGTTTAAAGCTAGGAATTGGATACAAAATTCAATCCCCTTTTCCAAATCTAAGATTTGGAATGGAAAGTGTTAGTAACGTTAACAATGTTATTGGTTTTGAAAATACAATATCAGGAAAAAATGTGTTAGAAGCTGATTAAATAGAACCATATCCATATTGACAGATTTACCAAATGTGAATGCTTTAAAAAGAAAAAAAAGCTTAGATAAAAAGAAAAATAGAAAAAAAAAAAAGTTACTCAGCGGGCACAGTTGTCCGTAAGACATCTCTACAACATTTTATAACCGAAGTCAATAGTCCTTAAGTTGCATAAATGAAAACTCGTTCATTTGTGATGAGTGAAATGATGATAAAATAAATGATGATGACTGAAATGATGGCTTTTATAAACTTAGTTGTAACAACTTATACTGTATAACAATATTATTCATAGCTTGAAACTACTTATACTGTATAGTAATATTAATCATTGCTTGGAAAAGTCGTTTTTTTTATTTATTTTTTACTTCTATATTTACAACTTTTGTTCTAAATATTACAATGGCTTAAAGGAACCCAAAAAGATACTTAAAGAGATCTAAAACTGCTAAGACAAGTTGTTTTTATTCTCATATAGTGAAAAAGTATATGCTTCAAATGATTCAAGCTAAAATTGAACTATTAGTCTTATTGTTGGTAATAAATATTCAAGCTAAAATTACTATAAAACTTGATACAGGTGGTTGCACCCCAAAAACCACATGAAAGTAGGAGAGCCTAGAACTTTTTTCTTGAGAAAAATAATATTTTTTAAGTTATTACTATTGAAAGATAAGCCTAAATGGGGTTCTTCCTGATAGGTATGATTTAATATGTCTTGCTTGTTTTCTTTTGCTTGAATGTTGAAGCTGACTCTTTTTTTGCCATAAATTTCGCTATAAATTGGTGCAAAAAAACGAATGGGAGGGGACAAGCAGCATTAAAGACTGGTATGTTTCCTCTTATCAAAGATAGAGAGACAATCAACAGGCGGTTAGATGGAAAAGTGGTTAATGGACAAGAAAGAAGTTATTGTACTATACTTACAGAAAATGAAGAGGTATGTATTGTTCGTTTTATAAAAAATTAGAACAGGTCTTTACAAGCAATTAATAAACAGGAAGTAACCAAGTTAATTCTAAATGTGCTACGTATTAGACATCACACTAATATAAAGATGAAAGGTGGAAGGAAGTTTCACAAATTACCATTAAATGCTCGAGCTGCACTGTAAAAAGGAAAGTAAGTTGAAACTAAATAATTAAACTTACAATGATCCTATGAAATCTAAATAGGGTAATAAGAATCATCTTTATATTTAAATATCCCTTTTTTTAATCAGCCTATTGTTTTTATATAACGGTCCTCTTTTATAGATTAAGTCGATCATTTTGGCTTCGCTTTAATGCTAAACATAGCAGTCTTACCATCAAGCGACAAGGAAGAGTGTCTATAAACTGTGCACTGAATTGTTCAAGGGAAATGGAAAAAATGTATAAGTATTAATACTTGCTTAAAATGATTTTCAATTTTTATTTTAAGGGGATATATGTATGTGCTAGGTGATTTTTAAATGAATTGGTATTACAAGTTGTATGGTTCCGACAGAAGCAGCAAATAAAATTCCACATTTTCGTCTCTTTGTCACTCCACCAGACACAACAGGAGTTACTCAACTTTATGACCAAGTAAATAAGAACATTCATAGCAAGTATCATAAACAGAAAGGCTCAATGTTTTCAGCTATCTGCTCCTTAAATAAAGAAGCTTTTGTGTTAGTTCTAGCTAATATATGGGACAAATAGGCAACCAAAGAAACTATTAAAAAATCTGCTAGAAGGGTGGTTGGTGTCACTGAAAACTCATTGAGTGTTGAATTTATGCAAAAAGATAAACTTGAAAGAGCAGAAAACTGTATTGAAGCAGAGAAACAGCCATCTCCCTTAATTTTTTCGCCTGATAAAAGACGTGGTTCAGAAAGTTACTGAAAATCAAAGTTCGAACAAGCTATGGAACTGATTGATGAACTTCATGAAAAAAGTATTCAACTGGAAGAAATACCAGGTTTTATGGTAGCCAATAAGGTAAAGCCCATATTATCAAAAGATATGACACGTGTTACCCAAGTACATGGTTCAATGACAGCAAACAATGTATTAACTGTAGTTGAATCCATAAAAAGAATCAAAGAAAAAAAGTTAAAAGAAAAAGTAGATGCTGCAAAAAAAAAAAAAAAAGGAAGTTAAAATCCTTTTTATTAAATGTATGCTTCAATGTAATTGTGGAGATATAAAATGTAAAGCTTTCAGCTTGAAGCAGTGTTCAACCTGTCTTAATGTTATGAAGTCTGTTTGCAGCAAAGTAAATTGCAAAGTAAATGGACGAAATCTAGAAATGATCTTATTAGCAGGTGCTAGAAAGATATGAACCAATTATTTTAATGAGATATTTCTATAAATTTTGTGCAAATTTAGTGAAAAAGATTGATTCTGGTTAATTCTTTTTTTAATGCACCCCAAAAACCACATGTTGAATTGTACATTTTAATTGTTATTTTTACATGCTTACCTTCTACTTAAAATGCAAATGGTTTGATTTATGTATACAATATATAAAAGATAGGTTAACTAGATTGGAGTTGCAAACTTAGTCTAAAAAACCACTATTTTATAGCAATTATTCTTAAAAATTCCAAAAAATTTATACACTTTTTTAAACTGAAAACATTTGTAAAAATTTTCCTATATTGTTATCTTAGTTTTCTTTTATTTTAATTGTTACTGGAACATTCATGTATCAAAAAACATTTCTTTTGTGGTTTTAAAGTACAGGTTTAAATTTTTATAGCCATATAACTGACCACGCTGTTTTTGGGGTGTCTTGGTTTTTGCGGTGCATTCACCTGTAGTAAATAATTTAGAATAAGACGCTAATCTGATCTTCTGTATATAAGAAACTTTCCTCGTTAACTTAACTCAATAAGTTGGTACAAATCGTTTTATTTTTTAAGGCCCAAGTTGTGCGTTAAAATTTTTTTTTAAGTAAATGATTGAATATAAATGATTGAATATAAAAAAATTTTTTGCCGCGAACGCACGTGTTTTTGACTCCTCTTCAAAAATATTAATTAAAAAATGGAAATAACGATCAAAAATATCGAAAAAATTAATACCAACAAGTTTGAAGAACAAAAAAGAACTTTGCTTAAAGAAACAGAAAGGTTATTAAAAGACCAAGAAAGAAATCACACACAAATAGTGAGTGGAAATATAAAAATTATTACTGATAGACTCGACAAAATAGAAAATGAATTAAATATGAACAGAGTAAACATGCAAAATATTGAAAAAGACTTGAACAATGTGAAAGAAAGTCATAACTTTCAAGAAGAAAAAATAAAGGAGGAATTAACACAAATAAGGAAGAAATATGATCTTGAAATTAAAAGTATAAATAAAAAAAATACTGACTTGGAAAACCGCTCTCGTCGCAACAACATTAGAGTCAATGGTCTGAAAGATTCACCAGGAGAAAGTTGGAGCGAATGTGAGAAATCTGTGAAAAAAATATTTACAAACAACCTTAAAATTCAACTGAAATTACTGTGGAACGAGCGCATCGAATTGGATCGTATAAAGAAGACAAAAACCAAGAACTATCGTAGTGAAACTGTTAAACTATTAAGATAAAATTAAAATTTTAAGTTCACTTAAAAACCTAAAAGAAAGTGGAATATATATAAATGAAGACTTTGCTAAAGAGACGATGGAAGAGAGAAAGAAACTTTGGGAGGAAGTCGAAAATCTTCGTAACCAGGATAAATTCGCAATAATTAAATTTAATAAAGTTTTTTGTCCCGAATTTAGGAAGAAAGAAATTTTTGCGTATAATTAAGAAAAATTTTTTATGTTAGTTTAATTCTCTTACTAATGATTAAACAAACAATAGATTACGAAACACAACACTTTAATGTTTTCAAATCGGCTAATAACTTTTTTCCTAATAACTTTTACGATCCAGATTTGCTTTTTTTTTTAATAAAAAAAAATTTAACTCGCGTTTTTTTGAATTAAAAATTTTTAAAAATCATTGAATTAAAATCATTAAAAAATAACTTTACAGTGATACACATAAATATAAGAAGTATAATTAACAATATTGACAAACTAAAACATTTTCTTCTAGAATGTAATTATTTGTTCAGTATGATTTGCTTAACAGAAACTTGGTGTTCTGACGAATCATCCAGAATAAATTCAAACCTAATAATTCCAAAATACAAACTATTATCTTATGAGCGAAAAATTCAAAAACGAGGAGGTGGAATTATGACATACATTCATAATGATCTGACAACTAAAATTAGAGACGATCTTTTGGTTTCTGATGCCGATGGTGAGGTCTTTACAATTGAAATAATAAACAAAAAATTAAAAAATATACTAGTGCCCACCTGTAACAGACTACCCGAAGGTAATATAAAAAATTTTTCAAATCACCTAAAACAATTATTTCTAAAAAATAAAAAAGAGCACAAAATATTATTCTGTATTGGTGACATAAATATAAACTGTCCAATGAAAATGCTGTTACCAAAATTTTTTTTGACAATATGTTTTAACATTACATCTTTCCTATAATAAACAAACCAACCCGGGTAACATTAATTCCAATCACTGCAATAGACAACATTTTGACTAATTCATATTATGATTAATCAAAACAGATATACCCAATCACTTTCCGATATACTTTTCCTTTTTTCAAGATACAAAATATAATAACTCTAAAATCATAGTCTATAAATGAAAAATTATTAATTTTACTATTCAACAGTTTAAAGACTCACTATCGGCAGTGAGGTGGGACAAGATTTACCAAAAATGCAACCTTGGGCATACCAACTCTGCTTATAATGAATTTATAGAAATATTCTTAAACACTATGATAATCAATTCCCTCTAATAGAACAAGAATTAAAAGTAAAATATTTACAATTTCCATGGATTACTAGGGGTATAAAAAATCTTCAAAAAAAAAAAAAAACTTTACATCAAGTATTTAAAAAATAGTAATAAAAAAAATCTAAATACTTACAAACAATACAAAAATTAATTTAAAAAAATAAAAGTTTGAAGAAAAAATTACTACTCTAACTAAATAAAAAATGCAACTGGTGACATTTAAAAAACATGGAATACGATAAAATAAATAATTGGGAACAAAAAAGTTAAATCAAATAGTTTACCTGCTCAAATCATCATAGACAATATAGAGTACAGTGACAAAAATACAATTGCTGAAAAATTCAACGAATTTTTTGGTAATATTGGCCCTACTCTTGCCTCAAAAAATAAGTCTCATAATAATTCATTTAAATTATACCTAAGTGATATCCAGAGCGAACTAAAATACAAAGAACTACCAAGAACTTAATGTTGCTCTAAATTCCTTAAAATTAAATAAAACTCCAGGTATAGATGATACTTGTAGTAGGGTAGTGACAAATGTCTTTACAACGATAAATAAACCTATATTTGAAATTTTAAAGTCTTCGATTAAAACAGGAGTTGTACCGGAAAAGTTAAAAGTAGCTAAAGTAGTACCAATATTTAAAACAGGTGAATCACACTTAATTAATAGCTATAGACCTATTTCGGTACTCCTTTCGGTACCTTTTCTAAGCTTCTCGATAGAATAATCTATAACAGATTGTATGAGTATTTAATCCAAAATAGAATCCTAAATAAAAAGCAATATGGTTTCAAAAAACAATATTCAACTGAACACGCAATCCTAGATCTAGTTAACAACATAAGTGATTCTTTTGATAAAACACAGTATGTTTTAGGCATCTTTATAGACCTGTCAAAAGCGTTTGATACTGTTAAATCATAATATCGTACTTAAAAAAATGGAAAGCTATGGAATAAAAAACATAACCCTTAACTGGTTCAAAAACTAAGTAACAGACAATAATTATTTAATTATTTAATTAATCTTAGTAGTTTTGAGTGTTTCTAATTATTTTTTCAGTTAATTATAAACACTCAAAACTACTAAGAGTTGAGTGCGGTGTCCCCCAAGGTTCCATTCTTAAACCTCTTCTGTTTTTTCTATATATTAATGACCTTACAAAATTTTGGAAAAATTTGATGCTATCATGTTTGCCGATGACACAAACTTATTTTATTCATCGAACTCAATCAAAGATCTTTATGAATGTATGAACAAAGAGCTTAAAAGATTAAATTTATGGTTGAAATTAAATAAGTTATCACTAAATACACAAAAGCAAAATACATATTGTTTCATTCCAAAAAACAAAAAAATAATATACCAATTACCCTTCCCTCACTAAAAATAGATAAGGTAAACATTGAAAGAACAGAAACAACTAAACTTTTTGGGATACTAATTGACGAAAATATATCTTGGAGAGCCCATATAAGTAAAATAAATACTAAAATTTCAAAAAATATTGGGATTCTCTACAAACTTAAACCTATGTTATCCCAACATAATCTTAAATCGCTTTATTTTTCTTACATCCAAAGTTATCTTACATACGCTAGTATTACATGGGCAAGTACACACAAATCCAAATTTAGTACTATTTAGATAAGTCAAAAACATACATCAAGATTAGTTTATAATAAAGTTAAACTCACCCACGCTGAACCTTTACTAAAAACCATGAATGCACTAAATGTTTATCAAATCAACATCTACCAAAATGTTCTATTTATGCTTAAATACAAACTTGGACTAGTCTCATGGCATTTTTTAGATAACTTCTTTCAAATAAACTCTAATAGGTATATGACAATAGCAACAGGCAACCAGGGCCGGCGCGAGTAGGTGTCACGTGGGGGGTGCTATTTCAACTTTTGCCGTCTAAAAAAAAAAAGGTCCTCGTTTTTGAAAATTTGCCGACTAACATGACGACATTTGCCGCCTAACTATGTAAATTACCGACTAACCTATATTGAAAGGGTCGACATTTGCCGACTAACTAGTCAAAAAGGGTCAAATTTGCCGACTAAGGGTCAAATTTGCCGACTAAAAATCATTGATGGGGGGGGAAGGGGTGTCACACCCCCCATCACCACACACACACCCATATCGCGCCATCCTTTGAGGCAACTTCACACTGCCCAAAAGAACAACAAAGTTCTCACGGTTTTCTATTTTCTACCGGGGTCTGTACATATATAACAAAATCATATTCAAAAATACAGAACTTAAAGTATTAAATAATGCTGTCAAATTGAAAAATAAATTAAAACACCTCATACTTAATACCAACAATTATATTGACATGCATTAAACTTAACATTAAAATTTATATTAAAATATTTATGTGTATCACTGACTATATATTGTTTAACCACTTTATTTAACTATTTAAAGAGGTACTCGATGATAAGTCTTCATAGACTTCTTCGAGTTTTCCTTTACAACAACATGTATATATCTGAAGAAACAAAAAATTTCTTTTCTTTTTTTTCTTTTCTTATTTTTATTCTTTTTTTTTTTTAAAATACTGGTAATTTTTATGATAAGAAACACTATTAATTTACGCTATACCTAGTTATACTTGTTAAACTAATTTTTATTATGCTATGTTATACGTGGTATTATTATCTTATATTTTTACGTGCGATTATATTATGTCATGTAGTTATAACGTAACGATGTGTAAATTTATTAAAGTTGTAAAAAAAAAAAAAAAAAAAAAAAAGATGATAATGGAAAATGTAAGCCAATTTCATATTTTTTAATTTTTACAAAAAGAGTTCAAATCTTGATTTGAAGAAAGTAGGTACCTTATTTTAAGTTTTAAACTCAAAAAAGTTTACATAAAGCAAACAAACCTCTGAAGGCTAAGTTAAGAGCCAAGGTACAACTTTATTTATTAGGCCGGGTGAATAAAAATTAGCAATTGCTTTAACTTAGTAATTGGTTAGCTTTACGTGAATAAAATTTTTATCAGTTTTTCTATAATTTTTATTCACGTAAAGATAAGCAACTTATTCAGTAATTGCTCAGTTTAATTGCTTATACTCATATATTGGTCAGCTTTACCAAATAAAAACTTAACAAAATTCGGTCAAGTTTTTATTCACGTAAAGCTGACCAAAACTTGAGTAAAGCGATTTCTGATTTTTAAACAAAAAAGTTTAACTTTCAAGTTGATAAATTTCCATTAGCTTAATCTGGTAATGTGTGACACGGTTATTTTATTTTTGAGGATAAATTTATTGTTACGTATTTTGTTGCAAACGCCTTTGCAACATAATGTGCAAGTTCTCTAACGCTTTAAAGCTTTTTTGTAAGAATTTCCGGTTACAATTATTTTTTGGCCGATCGTTTGATCGAGTATGGGTTTTTGTTATTATTTAAATTGGGTGTTGTAAAACATTAATCTCGTCTCAATGTATATAATTATATATATATATATATATATATATATATATATATATATATA